ATCCCTCCTCCACCCTGTACCTGAGCAGACCTCTGTTCTTGGTGGTCCAAAGGATACCTAGACGGTGGTCGCTTGTTAAAGGAAGGTTCTGTAAATAAGCCAGATTGCTTTGCTGGGTAGGAGGAGTTCTGGGTTCCCTGGAGGTGGTGGCCTTGATCCAGGAGGACAGGGAAGCAAGGGCCAAGACCTGACAGCGGGACACCCTATAGGCTTGACGATTCAGGTGCTGTGGCTGGGTGGACTTGGTCTTGACTGTGTGAGGCAGGAAGTCCCACTCTGGGAGGTGGCCCAGGGGTTTGGAGACAAGTTGATTCCCTTGCACGTGTGACTGAGGACCCATTCCTATGCCTTTAAGATCACTGCTACCTTCAGAAGCAAGGTTTCTACCACTAAAGCGAGCTGCTAGGTACCAGCCCTGTTGTTAATGGAGAGACTGCAGGCGTGTGTGGCTCCTTTTCCCCCTCACTCTTGTCCTCCTCTTGTAAACCTGACTTCCAGGCTCTCAGAACCCTGCTGCTTCAGTATTAGTGGGAGATGGGATTGTCTGTCGCTTAGGAAACCAAGGCTCCCTGTAAGCAGCGCCATCTGTATGCAGCAGACCTCAATCTTGGGATTTTATTTGAGGGCATCAGAGTGTTCGTCAGGCCACTGAGTTTTGTGGCTGAGTACAAACAAGGGGGCACAGAGGCCATGCAGCCAAGGAGAACTTGGCAGAGTTGGGGGCCCCAGCCTCCCGGGGACACCATTGTCCCAACCTGCCAGGATGAGTCCTACACCCCAGAGATCTGGCTTTCCAGCTTTCTGCTAGGGAGTGAGGCGGCCGGGGGTGGAGGGATGGGACAGATGGCGTGCGCGCTCGTGTGTGTGTGTGTGTGTGTGTGTGTGTGTGTGTGTGTGTGTGATTAATGGGGCTGGGTGGGGAGTGGGGAAGGAAGAGAGGTGGTACATTTTTGTTTTCCTAGCAGCAAATCCTGACCAATAAACCCCCACATGAAGGAGCCACACAGAGTTAGCTGGATTAGAGTGGGTTCAAGTCATTTATTTTTAGACTGTACCAGCATGTTGGGTTCTGGGGTCCAATCCCCAAATTCCAGAAAAATAAACTAATGAGAACCACATGCACTATGAGAAGGCCATTCCAACGTGTCCGTGATCATGCTGTGAGTGGGCATAGTATACAGACCAGGAGCCCTCCCTAGACAGCTGACAGCAGCTGGCTCTGAGCCCTCCTTGGGACTGGGGAGAGGGCCAAGACCGGATCATTTGAACCCTGTCCCTTTAAGGCCCCAAGCCCCTTATTGCTACATTTGCTACTTTGCTACTTGATGGCCCCTGGGTCATGCCCAGGGGAGGCCTTATCACTGGGTGGTACTAATGAGTAGGCTGCTGGCATGTGTCCTTGCCATTGTGACCACAGCATAGAACTCTTTTCCGAGGGTCCCGGGCTGAGTAGTTATGGGGGATTCATTTGACCACTATTTAACTGTGCCACATAGGGTCCTTGCTACATACTCAGCTTCGCCATCCCTGCTGGAAGCCAGTGGCCCATTATCTACCCCCAACGCCAGGGCTTTTCAGCCCAGCAGCCCAGCAGCCCAACGAGGAACACCTCCCTCCAACATATTCTGCAAGGTCCAAAGACCAACAGCCTGCTATCCTTTCCAGCGTGGGGCAAGGCTTCTTAGTGGTGGCTTTTGAAGCCCATGCATTTGGAGCACAAGGGGAAGGGTGCATTTTAGGAGAAACATCAACTTCCACCGAGAGCCAAAAGGCCGGCTGGGTGGCAGGCTCCTGGTTCAGTGTCCTGTTGGTGAGGTAGTTTGAACACACCAGCCATCCTGCCAGGAAGAGCGCGCCTGGAGCATGTCTCCATATGTTCTCCGGTCTCAGCAACAACTCGGAGTGGTGAGCGGGGCCCCGGGGGGCTGGCCTGGACCTGACTCCTCGGCCCTCGTGGGCTGGGGGCACCACCCAGATGACTGCCCTGGTGGGCTGGGCCCCACGGTGCTCCTGGGGGATAGCCACACCTGACAGCAGAACGAAGCATCACTTTTTGAAAAGGAAGGAGCCCTCTCCCCAGCGAGAGCATTCCTGCTGCTTGGGCTGAGCCCTCTGGCTACCGCTGGGCACTTTGCACATGCCATCCTCCAAGTTTTCTTCTTTCCACGAGGCAAAGGTGATTTCAGTCCGATGTTCGGTGCCTGGTATCCTTACGTCTGACTTGCTGGCTGGGTGGTCGCTTCTGTGGCTGCCCTGTGGGGCTGCCAACATGATTTGTATCCTGGGAGCTGTCAATGGGAAGAGTCCCAGGACCAGAGACAGTGCCCAGTCAGGGGGGGCTAAGGAAGCTTCCGGAGGCAGGGGAACCTACTTTGCTCTGGAACTGCCTTCAAAAGTCTACTCTGGTTTGAAGTTTTGGCTGTGTAGACCAGGCCAATGGGAAACTGGCCAAGAACATATTTTTGAAGTGTGTTTGCATTCTAAGGTCTGCATAGTAGATGGACCTTGGACTGGCCAACTGGGCAGAGCAATGGCACCCCCACCCCCTGCATGGCTTGGCTTGATCTACTGGGGAGAACGTGGTGGTCACAAGACTGAGCATGCCTGGTTGGGAGACAGGGTGACGATGGGGTTTATTGCTCTGGATCTGAATGCGTCTGGAGCACCCTTACTTCTGTTGAGCCTGTGGGCCCGTCCTTTCCTCAGGATGTCCCCAGGGGTGTTTGGAAACCTTCAGCTTTCGCCATCTCAGAGGTACAGTCCACCTGGCTCTCGGTGGGCCCTCTGGGGACCTCCAGGGCTGGTCAAGTCAGCCAGCATTGCTCAGGAGTAGAGGCCAGGAGGATTGGGGAAGCCAACACTGTCCTGTCCACAGCCCGTGGGGAAGGGCAGGAGGCAGCAAGGAATTTGCCCTGGTAACTGAGGGCACAGAGGCACTGGCTGTTCTAGAACTCGCTCTGTCCACACACCCTGTGCCTCGATGTCGACACAGCTCGGGGACCCTTAACAGGGAGGGGCTTCTTTGGGGCAATGTTGGGTGCAGAAAAGCTTAGGCGGCATTTTGGTTCTGAGAAAGGAGCCCTGTGTGAAAAGCAAGGAGATAAAAACGGGTGGAACCAGGAGAGGAGGTCCAAAGACCCCATTACATGGAACAGGGCTTCCTTTCACTCACTTACTCATCAAGTAGTTACCAAGGATCTACAAGGGCCAGGACCCATGCTGACGTTGTGTGGAACCAGGGTGTGGGAGTGCCTGATGGGAATCTGCGTCTGTATTGCCACCACTGGAGACAACCTCAGGACCCAACCCATGTCATCTCTCTACTGTCTACTGTACCTGGCAGAGGCAGCAACTACAGCCAGTGGGGGAAACTGAGGCATGGCGGTCAAGAACTCACAAGGGCACAACTGTAGCCAAGTCTCCTAATGCCCATAGTAGTCCTGCTGTGAGGGATGGAAGCCCTGGGGACAGGGCCCTGCGGACAGGGCCGCATGGAATCGGACATACGATGGCACGGACTTGGGGGCTCCAAAGATGGTCACGGAAGCACTCAGGAGGCAAGGTCTGCAAACAAGTTTATGAACCTTTGGTCACCAGCTGGTGAATTTGCCTACATGAGTAAAGAAATACCAGTGATCACTTTTTTCTTTTCTTTTCTTTCTTTTTTTTTGCTTCTGTGTTTGCTGTTTTTATACTCCCCAGGGAAAATTTTCACCTATGGCCAAAAATAGATTGAGGGAGGCTAGTTCTAGCAGGCGGAGTGAGTGTCTGAATTAAAAAAAACATGTTGCTTAATAGTGCTCCGTCTGAGGGCTTGAGGGTGTCACAATGGTGAGAGTGACAACGAGGACAGTAATAGCTACTGTTTGCTGAGCACCTACTTCGTGCCAAGCACCTGACTCGGTGCTTTCCATATATTACCTCCCGGCCCATTGGCAGATAGTCATCTTGACACACACGAAGGGAGTACAAGTGGGTTTTTTGCAGGTTTCTTCTGCAGGTTCTGCTTTGTGTCGGCTTTTTCCCTTGAGGACCTACTCTGTTTAGCAGGTGACCCTGCTGGGCTGTCAGAGGAGTGTCCGGCCCTGGCCTAGGCCCTCCGTCACAGGCTCAGCCCCAGCTTCAGCCCCAGCTGAGACCTGGCCCAGCAGGGGCCCAGCCATGCCCATCAGGATGCCACAGCGTCCGGCCTGCCAGCTGTGTGACCCAGCCACCTCCCCCCTCCCCGGGGCCGGGAACTCTCCCAGCTTCCACCGGGGCTGCCGGAGGGGAGGATCCCAGTGGCCCCCGAGTTCACGGCCATGTTTGAGTCGAACAGGAGGGAACAAGCCAAGGAGAAGGGGCAACACCAGAATAAGTTAGGAAATAATAAACGTTTTAAAGACGGTCAGAGCCTCCACAGCTGTCAAACCACGAGCTCTTTCGTGGACACCGGTGCTTCCTCTGGTGTGGGACCCCTGAGGCGCGTGACAGGACCCGAGGGCAGCCCCACGCCCGTGGGGGCCTCTTGCAGAGCGGGCCTGGGGGGGCCGAAAGAACTGGTGGTGAGGCAAGCCGTGAGTTTGCTCACCACTGTAGCCACGGCGGAGACGTGTCGCGCTGCGGAGCCTTACACAGACATGGGGTGACGCAGGGGGCCATCAGGACACAGTGGCTGTCACTACGGGGGGGAGCGGGGCATAATACTGGATGTGCTCAGGGCCAGCCGGTCCCCCTTGCAGGTGCCGGAAGGCGCGCTCCCCCCAGACAGAGGGAAGAGTGACGGTATTAAGATTATAATCTCAAGTGATAGTCATGACAGGAGCCCCACGAGGTAACGTGCCCCGAATGAGTTAGGGCCCGGGACCTCCTCGAGAACCGGGCGTCGGCGCACAACTGTACAAGGAAGAGAGGGTTGTAAACGGGGGCCTCTGCAGGGCCGAGCCCAGGCTCTGTGGACTCGTTCTCTACGGTGTCCCCAGTCACCCACTGAGTCTCCCCTCTGCTGCCCGTCCTCGCCCTCACTCCTTCTCTTTCACAGTGACCAGGTCCCCTCGGAGGGAGACTCTGTCCGCGGAGGTGGAGCGCCGCCGCCTGCCCGCGGGGTCGTCGGGCCCGGGCCCCGCGGTGGGCACCGTCAGGAGGACTGCATCAGGCCGGTGAGCCGCTTGCCCGCCAGCGACTTTCCCTGCAGAGACAGGCGACAGAGTTGGCACGCACAGGCGCGCAGGTGCACACACACACACAGACAGGGACAGAGACAGAGACAGAGAGCCAGACAGGTGAATTAATTGCTGCAAGAGCCACAGAGGCCAAAGGACTTCGCTAACTGACCCTGTTGATCTCTGGGCTCAGGAGCCCTGACAGCAGACAGCCGGAACCACCAGGCCTCTGGGAGGCAGGTAGGGCGTGAAGGTGTGTTGCTGGTACTCTTTTTGGGGTGTGGGAATTTTACTTACCCCAAAAGGAGGCATTTTCACTCGTAAGTAGAGTGTCTCCTAATGCTTGTGGGCTGACCCTGCACTTAATTTGATTCAAGGGAGGAAGGAGCGTGGACTGGGGAGTAAGATCGGGGAGGGTGGGTTGACCCACACAAGTGATGGTTGGGTCTGGGTGACTAGAAGCTATGAGTGAACCAGTCTTAAGGATGCAGGAGATGTGTGAATGCAGAAGAATGCAGACAACCTGGGATCCTGTCTGAAAGGCAGGATGGAGACCTTTTTGGGAGAGACACAGGCTTGCCACCGGTTCTGGGACTGAGGAAATACAGGGGCCTGTGCCAAGGCTGGGAGTCTGGGCTGGGGATCGGGGGTTCCCACAGGCCCCAGGGCAACACACTCCTGCTGTGGCCTGTGTTCCTGGCTCCCTGTGCGGGGAAGGAGTTTGATGACTTCCCACAGGGACCTCTACCAGCCCTTCACTTGCCACCCATACAGAAGGTCTTGAAAAGGAAAAAAACTAAATGGGACCATATCCTGGTGCTTGAGGCACTGAGATCCTGGCAGAGGCCAGTGACTTGTGTGCTGGGAGAAAGTGGCCGAGGAGCCTCTGAAGGGGGATTGGGCACCACAAGGATGGATGAGGAGAATGACCGAGTCTCCATCATTCTGCTTTTTCCCCTTGACGCAGCCTGTGCCCGTTCCCTGCTCACCCTCTAAAGGAAGCCAGAACATCGGACAGGGGTCTAGAGGAGAGCCTGGCTGGATCCGAGCAGACTGATCACTGTGTCTGAGAAAATACTCAAAACCCATGCTATTACTGACAGCCGGCCGGCGACACTGTTGCCATCTGAGAAGGGGAGCACGTGTCCTCATCGGCATGGGCTGCGGTGTTTGGTACTGAGAGGCCGCAAGGGCCAGCGGTCCCTCGTGTTCATTTCCAAGTGGGGCGTGGGGCTCATCTTGTTTACTGGGCTTGGCCGCGTGCAAGCTGGATGTAATTAAAAGAAATTGATCAGGTTTGTGAAGCCTGGTAGAGTACTCAATAAACCGGCTGATTGATGAATTGATGGATAATGGGTAGATCTAGTGAATGAACAAGGGCTGTGAGTTTGCTGGATGCAAGACAACGTGTCCTCTGGCTTAGCTCTCCACAGAGGGACACGCCAGCTTGACTTTGAGAATTCCAGTGGCACGCACGGGAGCTCGTCCAGAAACGGAACCGCCCCCGGGAGCTGTCGGAAAGTCTGCGTGGACGTCCCCTTGCTCTATTTCCCTAGTATTTCACTCCTCATTTTCACCAGTGGGACCAAACTTCCTTTTTGCTCCCCTGTTTTAAACACACACGCATACACACACACACAAAGTCTCCCCAGTGGCAACCTTGTCTGCGTCTTCAAATAACACTAAACTCAGCCAGCAGCAGGGTACATTTATATCAGGCTAAGGATGTTTTTAATCAGAGTTTTTTAATCCTAGAGGGTTACAGTGCCAGTCTTTGCAAGTCACTAAAAGCTAGGTGGCTATTCCTCTGTGGAGAGTGGGTTAGATAGGACAAGAGCTCGCAGCTGGCAGAGGCTGACCTTCAAGGACTTTGTCCAGCCCTGGAGTCTAAGGCACAGACATGGCTGGTGCTCTCCTTGACTGCCCTTTCTTAGATGGAGCTCGAGGCATTTGTCATCCTGTTGGTTCATCTGCCTCCTTGGTGCAGCTCTGAAGGCAGGAAGTGCCGGGATGTGTGTGTGAGGTCCTCTCGGGGGGGAAATGTGGAGCTGATGAGTCTAGGGGCCTCCCGGTCCGAGAGTTCTAACAAACCTCCCCCGGCCCCCTTCACCCATGTCCATCCCTGCTCATGTGAAAGGCACTGCGGGATTCCACTCGCCTCTCGGTGCCCCTTATTTCTGCAGTTACTGCACGCCAAATACTGGCTCCTCCCCTTCCCCTTCTGTCTGTTTTCCACCAGGGCAACAAATGACATCTTGGGTCACTAAATGTGTATCTTTTGGCTTGGCCACCCATGGTATTCGGGTCTGACTGAGCTGGCGGATGTGAAAAAAAATCACTAAAGCCCCCAGATAGCAGTCAATTGTGAGTGTGTATGTGAAGAGCCCAGAAACAAAGCAGGTGACGTTTACCAGGCATCCAAACCCTCATTACGGCTTTGTCCTCATTAGTGAGATCATTTTGGCTGGAGAGGGGCTGTAGGGTAAGCAAGGCTGAAGGTTCTATATCTGGATTATTACGGGACTGCCTATCTGTTTTAGGTGCCTTTGGTCCTGAGGTCCCCCACCTTCCACCCCTCCCTGTTCTGTAGAAGAGGCTGTGTTGGGCTTGGGGGCGCTAATTAACGTCCTCCTGCTTGAGTCCTGGAGCTCAGCCTCTCAGCTCTGCGGCTGCCCTCAATGCCTTCCCCTCCCCTCCCCCCCAGCTGCTTCCATCTCTCAGGACTTCGGAGACCAGCCTAGAGCACTTGCCCTGAGATTGTTCCCAGCCTCTCAGCAATCCAGGTGGTGTTCCTTGGCATTTCTGTCTCCCTCCCCCCACCCCTGCACACACACATTTTTCAAATGTCAGTTCTGCTGCTAAAGGAGGTCGTGAGGTTTCAGGTCCGCTCAGGGGGCAGCTCAGTCCAACTGCAATCTGTCCGCTACTCAGTGACCTCCCGCGTGGGGCTGGAAGGTGGTTATTCATGCAGGACACAGGCATGGCTAGATGCCTGGCCTCGGGCTTTGGGGAAGAAATCCTGCAATCACACTGGCTCAGCAACTGCCTCTCTTCTGAAGAGCTGAGGCTCCTGGAATTTTCAGGGATCAAAGAGAAATCTGACAGCAGAGGCTACCTGTGTTCGGAGATGAGCTACCCCAGGGTCTGTGCTGCTAGGGCTTGCTGGGAGCCCCTGAGCTCCCTGCTCTTTCCAGAGAGGAGAGCTCCTGCGCTGCACCCTCTTGGGCCCTTTCCTCCCTCTTCTTCACCCCCTCCCTTGCCTCATTGGATGATCCTGTAGGAAACAGGAAGGGCAGGGGAAATTCTACTTCCACCCAGCATCTTGTACAGTTACAGGGGAAGCCATTGTCTCAGGGTCTGAATGTGTGATGCTCCCCAGTGCCGGTCAGTTGGGAACGGATCATGGTACCAGGGAACTCCGCCTGAGGCCTTGGCGTAGCTGAGTGAGGCAGCTGAAGGTGGTTGAAAATGCTATTAGCAGGCAGCCTTTGTCCCAGTTGAAAAATACACAGTGATTAAGAACTGAACTGCAGAAGGTACATTCCAGAGACACCAAAGCTTTGCATACAGACAAAGTGCTTTTCACCTTTGAGACGTTTGGGGAAGTTAATCCAAGAGAATCAGGATCCTTCAATTTCATGGCCTGGGTTCACACACAACCACCCTCCACCCTGACTAATCACTTCAGCTCTGTGGCCATCTTGATGGCTAGAAGCCTGGAAGAAGGTGGTCATGGAATCCTTTGTTTCTAAAAGGAAATGCACAAAAGGAATGGCTCCCTTTTGTGCAGTGCTTTAAGAGAAATCGACATGCTGCTTGACATGCTATGGCTCTGTGCGTCGCACTTCCAGATGTTAATCAACAAAGCATGCACGACCCGGGGTACCAAGAGCTTTCGCCACTTACTTACCTGGGTCACTGATGCTACACTCTTTGGCTGGGAGGAGGGCTGTGGCTCAGAGAGTAACCTGGGGGGTTAGGTGGCATTTTGGGGGCAGCAGAGCCAAGCGCTAGGGACTCAGGCAGGACTCTTTCCAATTCTAAGGGAGTAAAGATATCTGAGCTGCTGATGGGATTCTCAGGCTGATTTGCCCAGGTGATCTAAGACCAAAGTTACAGATCTCAGGTCCACCCAGTCTAAGTCCATGAGGTTACTTTCCAGAGTCATGGGGCGTAGGTGACACTGGTACACAGATTTGTTAAATTCACTGGACCACACATTTCAGATCTGTTCCTTCTGCTATCTGGAATTACCGTCAAAAGAAAAAGAAAAGATTAGGGGAAAAAAATCCATCACATCTCTCCTTTGAAGTTTCTCACTCCTTACTCCCTTTCAGTGGCTGGCCCCATGAATTTGCCTTTTGGCTCAATCCAATGCTTCCTCCTCCAGTGTAGGAGAAACCCGGCTCCTCTGCGAGAGGAACTGGAACTTGCAATAGGACTAATTTGGAACACTGTGCCTAGTGCGTTGATCCAAACGGATCACCTTGTTGTGATACAGGCATTTTTCATCCTTATTAATGAAAATCGGGTTTTGCTGAATGGGGCTCACCAAATGACCTTAGTGGGCAAGAAGTGGAGGCTACAGAGATGAGCCATCCTCAGAAGGAGACTGAAGGACACCCATGAGTAGATGATGCTCGGGTTCATAAATGATGGGTGAGCTTGTGATCACAGGCCCGGGTGGCCTTGCTAAGGAGAGCAGTCAGGAGCCTAAGAGCCAGGTGGGAAGGTAAGGGTCCTGGCTTGGGTTTGGCAGGAGGGGAGAAATCAAGAACCTGTCTGAGTTCATAGAGTGACTTCTCTGGAGGTTGGTGACCCCTGGCGCCCCTTTTCCACAGAGCAAAACAAAAGGAATGATTTCAAAAGGGCCTATAAGGAATTCTGTGACATCCTCTTTCTCAATGGTGTTTCAAGCTGGGGAAAGAGTGCCTACTTGCTTGGGGTGTAGAGGTTTTCAAAGTTGGCAGAAGATTGGCAGGAAAATCCATCCTTAATACAGAAGAGTTTCAAAAATCTCAACTCTCCATCTCTCATCCACTCGCCCTCTGTTGAACCTCATGCAAGGTGGGGCAAATGAAAGGGGGAAAACCTGGTCTTGGGACTAGCCAAAGCTCACACACTGCTAATCCACAGCAGGGCTAGGCCAGAGCTGCACAGGGAGGAGGGGAGGGTGCTTCTGGCTTCCTCACTCCTCAGTAGTGGGGGGCTGGAGCCGGTGGCAAAATCCATTCCTGGGGTCTGTATTACTCCTGGGTCCTTGCAAAGCTTTCTGATCTCTCTCAGGAGCTGAAGGGCATTTTATCTGGCTTTAAAATATTCTATTTGACTTTCAAAAATAAGATACCACAAACATAAAACAAACACTCAAATAAAAAAAGTCAAGGAACAGGTGAAAATTGAATCATTAAAAAAAAAATCCACTGGCTGAAGAATTAATATTCATCCCTGTACATGTAAACCTGTTAAAAAAGAATGAATATCATCATAATAAAAATAACGGATTCTTTTGAAACAGGTCTCTATCTTAGGTCCAGCGGTATAAACCACTGAATTTTGCCAAGGAAATGGCGGGCCTATGGAATCTACCAGTAGTCATATCTTCTGAAAACAATTCCCATAAACGGTCACTGGGACTGTTAGCAGAAAACTTACTCTAGCCTATATTGGCAGCTACCAGTGATTTTAATTTTTCCTTAAAAATGTTTATTTTTTAATTTAGAAATGTGAGTTTCCAGCGCTCCTAACTATACTAAATGTGAAAGGACCAACCTATCCCTTATCTATCTCCTAGGGACCTTCTCTGTGAATTTCTTATCCCTGCTTGGTGGGCTGGCGTCAGGATCCCAGGTGCACTCCTTTCTCTTCAATTAGCGCAGACCTTGATGGTGACAGGGTAGGGATAGGCCCATTATCAGGGGTACAGGTTAGCTACTGAGGACAGTTACTAACAGCCACCTGTTGACCGAACATTGAACAATTATTGTGGGTCAAACACACTAGGCATTGCCTAGACACTTGTGTTAATGTTCCCACTCTCCTTGCCAATCTAAAGTCTTGAGACACCTTAGGTTAAAGTCTTAGGATGTATTACGTCAGGACAGATGAAGAAACAGGCTCAAACAGAGTTTGAGTCCCTTGCCTGAGAGCATACAGCTGGCCAGTGGCAGAGAGAAGTGGGTCGGCCTCCATGAGCCATACACTTTCTACTTTGTATGCAGCCCTCACTCTCAAGGAAGGAGGCACATGGAAACGCTCAGAGACTAGTGACTCCTCCATGCCCATCTCCACTAGGCCATCTCTTTGGGCAGCCCAGGGAGATTTTCTCAACCTCACTGAGAAAGAAGCTTCCACCCCTGGGCATGCCTGAGACCATCTCAAGCATTTCTGCTCTGCCTGACATTCTTCCCTTCCTCACATTTGGGACTCCTGAGAGAGAAGGCGCCACCTTCTGGCCGGCAAGCCTGGCAAAGAGAGCCCGGCTGCTGCACCGAGCTGGGGCACCCATCACCACTGCCTGGGGCACGTGGCTTTAAGGTGCACCTGCTGGACAGGCCAAGTGATGCTACCACTTCTCTTTGTGCTCTCATGTTATTGGTGCTGCTGCCTCTAGGGTCTCCATAGCAACTGTCCCACGGAGGAGAGAAGCAGGTGTAATGTTTACCTTTCTAAGGAGGGGCAGCCAGAGCTGCCTTACTCTAATTAGAACCAATTCCAATTAGAACCAAGTGCCCAAATCAGGGGGCTGGAGAAGTCCTCTGTGGGTGGTGTGCCTAGCCCTCTGACTCCTACCCTCCATCCGGCTCATCACTTCTGGGGCTCTTTGCAATGGCCAGCCTCTGCCTGTTAGTTTTGGTGGGTGGTGGGACAGCTTCCTCCACGTCCCCCAGCTATGCAGGGACAAATCTAGAACAGGCAGGCACGCCAGAAATGACAAGGGAAGAGCAGCTGTGCCCTACGCTGGTGGCCCACTGCCCAGGCACTGATCCCCCAGCTTCCTTCCCAAGCCGTGCATTTCCACCTTGCCTGTGTTCTTCCTGTGCAGGGGAAATGCCTCCCACCTTTCATATCAGATCTCCATCCGTCCTTCCTCTGGTTCTGACTGAAAAACCATGGTGCTCTCTGTATACTCAGCCTGCAGGGAAGCTTTTTGGGGGTTCAGGAGTGGAGTGGAGGTGGGCATTTCACTTGTGAGATCCCTCAGTAGTATGTCTTCTTTTAGCCCATGCAATGCCTTCCTCTTCCCTGTTCCTCCGTCCCTCCCAGATGCACTTTAGGATCTTAGTTCTGGTTCACTCCAAATTAGGCAATGGTCAAAAGACTGGAGGAAACAGGGACATGGCCGTGTTGCTACTAGTAACGACATGATGCTTTTTTCCAAGTAGGACGTTCAAGTGACCCTTGGCCATGGCTCCAGGGGAGAGTGCCACTGAAGTTTAGTGGAAGAGACAGCAGGAGGAATCATCTGCCGGGCAGCATGTGACTCTTCTGCAGAACCATGGGACTCTAACTCCACCTCCCAAGGGCACTTTTCCTCTCCTACACACACGGTCACCCAAAATTCATCCATAGGTTGGGGTCCATGGTTAAGCCAGCTTCCAAAGCAGAGCCTAGAAGGCACAGGCAGTCAACATGATGACTGCCTCCCCCCACCCCAAAGCATAATCTTTCCATGAATGTCCATGTCCGTTTGGACACAAAGGCAAGGGAGGACTACTTAGTTTTCTTTCTTCCCTACCACCAGGAACACGCCACAACAGGCATTTATCACACATGTATTTCTGACCTGAAAGAGTGCATCAGGGGATCCGTCAAGCAGCATTTTCAGAGATCTCTTGATAGAAACTTGGGTCAATGGATGGGAACCTTCTTCCCTAAGAACCCTTTTTATCTGTTGTTGTAAAGCTTTTTGCGCCCGTGGAACAGAGGATAGGTGCTCACCCAGCTTTCTTCTCCCCTGATGGTCTAGTATGTAGAAATGTGAGATTTGCAAGTTTCCCGCAGGACTTGGCCCTGGGCCACAGAGGAAGGTTGTGGGAACCGTAAGCCTAAGGATGCTGCTGTTGGATTTAAAAGCATTGTGGAAGGTAGTGAGCATTTCTCTCCCGTTTTGCTAGGGGCCCAGGAGAAGCGATCAGTACCTAAAGACGTTATTTGCGCATTGCCTCTGGGACAAGGGACTTACATCTTAGCGTCATTTCGGGACCCCTGGCTCCTTGCCTCTTATGAAGAAAAAACTATGGATGCAAAAAAAAAAAAAAAAAAAAATAATGGGGACACCAAAAAGTAGGTACTGCTGATTGTTCGTGGAACGAGGGTGTGGGAACGAGAGTGATGGGCAGAGACAAGGCCACGGACAAACAGATCATCTCTTCCGGATTTTGGAGCACCTTCTGTGCAGAAGGATCCCAAAAAAGGTTAGAGAGTGCGGACGCCGGGATCACTCACCCACTGCTGGAAGGAAGCCACCTCGGGGGTGAAATGCAGCGGCCATTCTGACTCTGCGCCAGCAGCACTAGGCAATTGTGTTTTTAGGAAGGGAAGTGAAGAATAACTTATCCAGCTGAAACCATGAATACCTGCGGCTTTCGGGTGGCCCCTGCCCAGACATGCGCACGGCTGCAACGGGCATGCAACGCATGCGCAGAGGCACATGCAAGGCGGCAGCGTATGTTACTCACGTCCCATACACTGAATGCAGAGGCCCGGGCAGGCAGGCCGCGCAGGCACCTGTGCGGACAGCGGGGGGCACGCTCGTGTGCGTGTTTGCGGCACAGGCGCTCATAGAAGCATCTCGTGCAAGCTGCATAAGCAACCATGTGATTGGCTGCAGAGCTTTCTATCAGGCTCCTAAAATGCCGATCTTTGACAAACACCGCAAACTTCAAGCAGTTACTTAAAGATACATATGTAAAACCCGGATTCTCCCCCGGAAGAAGCCATTCGTGTCAGTGGAAATGGCCTCGCTTCGGTGTCTGTCGATACTACAAGCTGAAGAAGCATGTACCCCGGGGATCTGGTTTAGGAGGGATTTCAAAGCATCCCCTGCCACTTGCTTCTGACTCCTCCGACAACCCCACTTTGTAGTGTGTGGCTGAAAAAAATCCAAGCCTTTGTTTATCTGGCAGATGGAGCGACCAGACTCGGTGAGGTTGGGTGCTCAGAGCGGCTGCAGACGGGCAGACAGCGGAGAGGTGAGGGTTTCTGGGAACGAGGCTTCTGTTGAGTGGAATGCTACATCTGGAGGACTGCATTTCACGTTCTTATGGGAAGAACCACTCCTGATCCATGTCTGGAAGCAGGAGGTGTTTCAGGGGTTGTGCACTTCGGTGGGGGTGGGGGGTGGCAAATGCCAGGTCCTGACAATGGATGCAACAATTTCTAGGTGGCTCTCACCACTCCCCGCACCACACAGCTCTCATGGCCTCCTGGGAGGTGCTTAGGGGGCCCCCAAGAAACTGACTATAGGGCAGAAGCTGGTTTGCCAGTCACTTCGGTCCCTCCGTTCTCAGGGAAAGCAGAGAAACTGGCTCTGGACTTTAAAAACAAGCCAGTAATAAGAGCTACGAAATATCAAGTCATTCTATGAGCTGGTCACTGTGGCAATTGGATGCATCTAGCATACACTGTCATATATGAGATACACACGTAGTTGCCCTTGATTGTAAAAGAAATAGAGCGATACCTACTCAGAGAATACTCTGGGAAATTAAGTAAGGTAATACGAGCTAAACAGGGGGTGGGGGCGGGGATGAACAAAAATGTAACAATGAAAATAGTAATGGGAAGAGTTCCCCTTGAGCACATATGCTACCAACATTCTGCTAAGCACCCACTCTGCTAAGCATCGGGTGTATTTTTCCCCCACTTAATTATTTACTCTTATCTCCCCTCTACAGATGAGGAAACCGAGCCTTAGAGAAGCTGCTAAGCAGTAGAGCTGACATAGAACCAGAGTCCTAGCTGGCCAAGCTCAGCGTGGTGCAGACACCCACAGTAGAGCACTGTGAGCCCCCCAGAAATGTCAGGGACTACTATTACACCCTCATTCAGCGCCAGCATCCGCTGTGTGCAGTAGGCTGGGGCTGTGTTACACCCGCCGGCCAAGTGAGCGGCTCCCCTGGGGTCTTACGCCAATCTCAGGCGGACAGACAGGAGTCAGCCGGGACTGTCCATCTCTAACCCAGCCTGCCTTTCTGCATTCCGAGCGGCACCAAAGGGACATTGTTCTTGGGGCAAGGTGAACAGGTGGTCGCAGTTGGAAATGTCGCTGCCAAGTTTTAACATTTGGCTCTGGATGGCTGGCACTGCGCAGGCACAGCCCAGATGTGACTCCCTGCTACAGCCGGGGTCAGGAGTGTTCTGGACAACTCTGGGCAGTAGCCACGAGGAGCCTCTCAAAGCAGGCAGGGGCAAGGGGCACCTCGCTATGCTTCCTCATGTGGTCCTGGGGAAGGTGGAGAGGAAGAGGACCCTGACACGAAACCTGAGCAAAGCTGCACCTGCACCAGGTGCAGAAGAGCACTGCACCTGCACTTCTTCCTGGTGATCCTTCCCATAACGTCCCACAGATCTAGAAACAATTTAGGAAAAGCTACCATTGAGAGGTAGCAAATGACGGGCTCTGGAGCTGTGTCATTATCAAGGAAACCGCCATCAAGTATAGGATCCCTGCGTGGCTATCACTCACAAATGCCAATGGTTGACTCCTCTACATATTTAGAAAAATGGATGCCCCAGAACCTTCCAGTATCATCCAGGACAGAAAACCCATCAGGACTTCCTCTCTACTTTTGCTGCAGATGACAAGTTTGGGTTGGGTTTTGTTCTGACTGCTCTAGCTCTATGTTCCAACTTAATTTGTTATGATCTAAAGGCCAGGCCTTCTACCCTTGTTTGACAGTTCCATTGGACATGAGGGTTCAGATACATACTGCTCTTGGTGCAAATGAGAAAGGCCAGGGGCATGGCATGGAATGTTCTCCAACCCCGTGAAAAAGCATGAGTGCCTTCCGGATCCCCCTACCTTTCCCCCTCCACCTCTTCTATTTGGGTCCCAATGGTGCCTGACAGAGTTTTAAAGGACTGTCTGAGGGAACATAGTACCAATCAACCCTAAGTGGGTTTTCTTTAGCTTTAAAAGATGTCTTATTAAAACTCTGCTGACTTTACGGGGATCGCCATGTTTAATGAGAGACCTCAAAGAATCTGAAAGCAAGAGATGAGGAGAGGAAAAAAGCCATAAGCTGTAATCACCATAATTATACAATCCCATGATGAGTTGAAAGCAGCCCCGATAAAGCCTGGGAGAAGAGGGAGTGTCATTTGCAATTGTGCTGGTCTTTAGGACAGCTGGAAAGAATGTGACACGAGAGCCCTTCCTTCCCCGGAGTTGGGCTTTAGAGAAGTCCTCCAGGCAGAGCCCAGGAGGAGGGGGCCCCAGAAGGGTAGTTTCTCCCTGGTCTGAGGCCTTGGGGAGCGAGTTCTGCTCATGGCCACGTGGAGAGGGGGCTGGAACCAGCTTGCCCACCTGAAATCTACTATTAGCATTGGGTGAAAGGCACCTGGCTTTCTCATCTTTGCTGTTTTCAGAAAAGCACCCTTTCTGGATGGGAAGGAGGACAGGCCAAGCTCTCTCCAACTCAGAGCCAGGGTCCCCCATGCGCAAGCCCACCCTGGCTGTGCTCGGCCTGACTGTACCATTGTCACTCAGCTGCTCTGGGCCAGCGGGTGCCTGTGTCCTCTGCTCACTGACCTCCTTTCAGGCATTCAGGGAGAGAGCCCTCTTGCCAGAGCTCAGCTGCAGCAGCCTCGATTGACTTAAAAAAAAAAAACAAACAAAAAACCACCCAACAAAACAAAAGGCTAGGATGACATGTGAAAGGCAGTAATTCCACTCTCTGACAGTTTCCCTTGCTTGGCCTGTGTCATCATCTGGCTTTTTCTCCCTCAAGGCCTCCAGAGGCTAATCTGACTCTTGGATCCCTCTCCTCCAATCTCAGCAAACTCCCTCCATATGATCCACTTTCTTTTCTAAGGCTTATTTAGAAACCATAGAATAATAGTAGTAGGATCCATTTAACAAATACTTAACGCACCAGAGGATTCCAGCTAAAATAGAGGCTCGAGGGGCACCTGGGTGGCTTGGTCGGCTGAGCAGCTGACTCTTGATTTCTGCTTAGGTCGTGATCTCGAGGTCATGAGCTCTAGCCCAGCATTGGGCTTTGACACTCTGGGCATGGAGGCTGCGTAAGATTTTCTCCTTCCCTCTCCTTCTGCTCCTCCCCCACATTTCTCCCTCTCTCTCTCTTTAAAAAAAAAAAAAAAAAAAAAAGATAGATTCCAATGAAGAAGCCCGCTTTACGATACCTTTGGCTTCTCCATTTTTCCAGGGAGCTTGGTGATCCTCCTGGTGACATACCCCTCTGTTGGGAAGTTGCTACTGTTATTCTCCAGCAGGGTGGCCCTCCCTGTATCTTCTACCCATTTCTCCTAGGTTTGGCTGAAACTACCCAGAAAGGCCGACTTACTGTGGAAGACAGACACAAATAGATCTCCTGATGGGTAGCTAGTCTCCTGAGGGGCTAGGCATCTCTATCCCACCTCACATGGCTTCGCCAGCTACTCTCTTCCAAATTTTCCCTGGATTGTCCAAGTTCCTGACAAATTGCTTGGGGGGGGGGTGCTTAGAACCAAGATTCAACACAGTCTAGAACAACACAAAAGCAGTGCGACACTTTTCTCTTTTGGTCATTCCACTTTGGTTATTATAGCCTAAAGCTGCTGCTGCTGCTGCTGCTGCTTCTTTTAAGGCAATTGCATCTTGCTTTTGAGGAATTACAGCAAAGGCTATGAATGCCATACTATAGTTATGAGGCTGAATTTTTTTAAACATAAATTTTTGTCTTGTGAAATTTTATGTGGTTGTTTTGGACCCACCATCCACCTGAAGGAGATACTCTTCCAATAGAATTCCATTGTCTACCGAATGAACAATACCTTGCAGGTGCGGATCTGTGAATAGGACTGATATGTTTTCTCTTCATCTGAGTCCTCCAAAGTGACGTTGATAGGGTAGGGCTATGTGACCTACCACCGGAAACTGCCTTTCTGGTTGACCCAGATCTATGAATTCACCCTCTTACCAGCCATTGAATACACTTGCTTTACTCAATTCTGGGCAAACACAGAGAGTGGAGGTGGGGGCGGGGAGGGACAGGAATGGCTATTGGTTACAACCTTAGGGCAGCTCCTGAATAAATATTCTTTACAGCAGGGGGCTGTAGTGATGACTGCCATCCTTCTACCATCCTCCAGGCTGACAAGGGGGTTGTGGAAAGTTCCTGCCAAATAGAATCCCAATAAGAACCCTCGCTGTTGGGACCGAGGTGCTCAGGTGGAAAGGATTCAGCGGTGATAAGGGAGAGTGGAAGGATCACTCATTTCAGGGCCCTGCCACTGCTGGGGAGGGTCCACGCTCCCAGCCCTGCCTCACCTTCCTATCTGCTGGGGAGC